GACCATGATGATGTCGCTACACCCACGAATGGCAATCCATGGAGCTCAGATGAAGAACTCACGCCTCTGTTCTTTTCCAGTTTCCCGAGTACTCTTGATCCCAATGCCTCGAGTCACGAAGGTCACCCAGACGGAAAGCTCCTGGAACCAGTGCCTCGAGTCCCATCAAGCTTAACACACCATAGTGGATGACAATCGGAAGTTATGGAATATTAACCTGTACATTACATATTTGATCGTACCTCTATCCTAATTTACCTCGAATCGGATGGGAGACCGAATGTTGTGGGCGCAGACGCCTTCTAATAACGACCTTCGTGCGCTGACGTGTTTCCTTGGGATGGAGACCGCCGTATGCAAACCTGTCCATCGCTCTCACGAAACGATTATGAAACGTGAAGCAGCAGAACAAAAACCTTTACGACAAGCGTGGCAAAACGCTGCTTAATAGTTCTAGAAAAGACTGGTGAGATCGCAACGCGCCAAAATGTGGTGAAAAGTATATGGCTGCACGTACCAGGTCAATTACCGAAGAAACTTACTGTATTAATCTCGGCCTTGAGGAGCTTCATAAGACCCCTTAACTCAGAGGTCTTCACCGAGGAAGACTTCGTTCCGAGGCTCCCAGTTGTGCATCGTCAACTTGACTCAACTAGTCCCCGCTCCTAGTGTTTTTTTCCGGACCTTACTAACCGTCTCGAGCCGAGCTTTCTGGCGACGTGAACAAGGGTAACAGGTTCTGAGGACACAGGAGCAGAGAGCAGTGCCTCGATGGATGCGTGGTGGTGGTTCGTGGAAGCTCATCGAGGCTGAATCAAATCTTGAGTCAGATGCCTGAACTTTCCCCTTTTCGCTCTCAGCCAACATTTCAGATGCCGCAAGAGATGCCACCGCTGCCTCAGTCATTGACAGTCAAGTCGTTTTCTTCCTGAAGAGGGAAGAGAGCCCCCAATCAGCTGGGGCCCAGGGACACAGCTATCGCTGTACGCAGCTCCCTCCATCACCATTCCCTGCTCGTTCGATTGAAGTTCCCTCCCTCACTTTTGGGCCAGCGACCCCATCTCATGGAATTACAATTTCTTTCCCACTCCAACTGCAAATTCCACCATACTATGGACCTTTTTTCGCACACCCCAGTAGTCCTGCATTCACTCAGAGCTGTAGTATCGTCAATATAGTATCCATCATCGTGAAAAAGACGCAGTAGTACTGTAGTACAGTACTGAAATGATAGTATCATTGTCAGGGACTTGGGTTTCCTTGGCATTCGGCGCATATTAAATTCGGCGCGTGCACTGGCGCGCGTCTGTTATGACAGACGTCCCATCGAAAATGAAATAAGTGGTGCATTCCGTAGGGGCACAGCCTCTGGACCTGTTCTCCGGTTAACGACAATCAGCTGAGCCCGTTGACGAGTAACTTCGAACAAGTGACTGGGGAATAATAAAGCACAGCAAGGGCCACGCCCCGGGACTTGCAATTGGAGACTAAGGTACTAGTAACAACAAGAGTAACAAAGCCACCTGTAGTTTAGACAAAGCGGAGAAACACGCAGCCAAGTCACAAAATGTCAAGTAGCGATTGAGCGCCATGTCACCACAACTAGCTTCCGGGAGACAGTACAGATCAGTAGACTGGTACAAAAAGTACGATTAGGAATCGGGTCGTCACACACGCGAGGTAGAACTCTGCTATTCGATCAGGTCCCGCTCGGGTTAAGATCCGTATAGTTTCGGGGGTCAATCAAGGCGAAACATATTGCTGAGAAACCACTGGGATGGTATGGCCTCAAGGATTGGATGGTACAATCATGACGAGTCAACTCGTGCGAGTGCGACCAGTGACAGTGCTTGTCACGTGTTCAAGAACGTTCAAGTTCCGCGAATTTGAATTTCCGACTCAGCGTAACACGGGATGCTCAACATCCCCGATCGGTTTATTCCCTACCAATTCCGAGCTCGACTGTGCTGACCGCTACACGTCCCCACTTGAATACATATTTTCTTGCCTCGTCTTTCCTGCATGGGTTGACTCGTACGGCTAACCCGGAGACGATCCGAGTCCTTGTTCTTGGCCCCGCTTGGCGAGCATCTCAAAGTCAAAAGAAAGTAAGCACCCGATATCTTACGTATGAACAAAGATCAGATACAATGAGAGGGAACACCAAGGCTGTTAGCAGCACTTGGAGCTTTAAGTGCCTAGAAGGTGTTTCTTGGTCCCCGTCGTCAGGGCGTCTAATGTCGGTTTGTTGTCGAGTCGTCCTCCGGGACAAGATACTTGCTATACCTTGTCGTTCTTCTGATATAAGTAGCCCTCTGAGGCCCTCTGTTACAAGAAGCTACGTCATCATCAATGGACTTCAGCTGGTCCTCAGAGCCGCCGTTACTCTCTCATAACCGAAGACTCAGTTCTAACTACACAGAACAGAATGATTTGGCGTCTCAGTCGCAGGCCGGATTTTTGGACATCATTAGAACGGAGGAAAGTTCAAATTCTCCCGGACCGTCCTTGCTCCCGCCTCAATCATACACATCTTATCATGGTAAGCTATTATGATTGAGGTGCGTTCTAGTCTTGACGTACGGAGCTAGGATCCAAATACCAGTCCATTCCGCTGTCCGTCCCGAACCTGCCAAACCGCCGGCCACAATTTTATGAATCAGAAGGTATGTCTTAGTTTATATCTTCGTCTACTGGGTGTATCTGATTCAGAACCCATCGCATGCGTCTGCCACGTCTGCATCGGTCTTGCTAGGCCCGTCACTCACTTGTAATCAATTCACAGATTTGTCTGCTCCAACGCATCCTAATAACGCTGACACCCTCCATGCTGCTTCTACGCAATATTCCAATCCTACCGGCTGGACAAATCGACAGATGGAACAGACAGAGATAGCGAACAATAACCCCCTGTCATCACATCAGGACATATATAGAGCCTTTAGGGCTTCTGCTTTACCGGAGTCGCCATACACGATGGATGCTGGTACTTCGCCTTTGCTATCTGCCGAGTCGTACGCGGAATACGGAGTGCAAGATCACTTCCCTGACGCGACGTCGTTTCCCCCCGGACAGTAGAGGGCGCCACACTGAATCTCGTGGCGACCCAGGGACAGAATGCGACCGCACAGGAAGCTTTGCAGCGTGAGCAGAAGATCCTAGAAAAACGAGAGAGGGATAAGGCAAAGAAGAAAATCGATCGCGACAAGATGCAGTAGCTTACGCGAGGATATGTGAATTGCTCAAAATTCATTAACGCCGAGGAATACGCTTGCCAATCGCAGTGAGTGCTTGTGTATTCATCCTCGTCGGAGATATTGAACGTTTCATAGTTCTAGATGTCGTCGAGGGGCTAGTGGAGCGGCAGGACCTTGAAGATGACCTCCGCGTCAGCTTAGAGACCGAAGCTGTGTACTTCTCTGAAATCGACTGGTAACTTTCGGCCTGAAGATATTGTCACCACCACCACCCATGCTCACACTACGCAGGGCAACTCATACACAGGTTCAACCCGACTTTCATGGTCTTAGTCGGGTGACGAGAGATTTGGACAAGAGGCATAACTGGGGCATAATGACAACGACAAGAACGTGCGCGTGTAACTTAGTACATAATAGATTTAGGATTGCAGTAACTTATATCAGGGATCACTAATTCATGCATTACTCATGAGCGCTATCGTTATGGGGATTCTGCTCGAACTTGGGCCTTTATGCGAGCAAACTCAGCATCCAATTCCGCAAGTCGAGCGACATACGCCCTCTGAAGACGGGATGCACGCTCTTGCTCAGCCCTCCGAGCGGCCTCCGCCTCCGCTGGATCCATACGCTCGAGGGCCCGTTGGAACTCTTGGAGGCGGCGTTCCTCAGCAAGTTTGGCGGTTCTTTCTAACCCCTCAACGAACACAAGCTGCTCCCGGACGACCGCTCGCACATCTGCGACATGTCTTCCATCATCTCGCCGTACTCGTCTTCTTCTCGACGAATGCTTCGAGCCCCTCCAAGGTTGGCCACTCAAGGAACGCTGCAGGTGGTTTAGATGAGCGTCTCCGCGGGAAATCGATTTGGGACAGATGGACACGTACCGCTCCTGAGGTCCTGCACTTCCCTGGTCACTTTCGCGCGTCTGGCCTGATTCAGCTCGAAAATGATGTCGGGGTCGGGGGGCAGTTTGGGTTTGGAAGACGGGCCATTGGCGGTCTGAGAACGAGATGGCGTCATCGAGGTATCTGTACCTGCAGTTACTCGTCGTCTGCGGTGGCAAAAGGGAAAGGAAAATGCAGGTGTGGGTGGGTGGGGGCAGGGTATTCGGAGATTGTGTAGCTGTAACTCGCGTCGAGGGACCACATTTATCTATGTCCTGAGACATGTCCATGCATGCACCGCCTCGCACGCTACTCACCTACTAGCGAGAGCAAAAATCACTTGGCGTCGTTATGACGGCGTCTTCATGGCGGACGATACAAAAAGAGACGGTGGTAAGCGCCCAAATTTTTATTGTCATCCATGGTTACTGACTCTGCTTGAAAAAAGTCGGTAAGAAAAGAATAGGGTAAGAGCCGCGCATGACAGCTCGCCGCGATGACCGGCGATGGCAATGTAGACAACTGGCGGCTGGCGACTCGTGGCGAGTGGAAGGCGAGTGGCACCGGAGTACAGTAATAATCTTGGTAATACTTGACCATTTATGACTCCCGATCATTGCTGGATGACTGGTTGTGAGAGCCCGGCGCCCTGACCTCCTTGCAGTGCACGGCCCGAGTACGATGATTATGTGCAGTGATAATTGTTCTGAGTCGTGGCGGAAGAGCCTGGGCGTTCAAGTGGCTGCGATTGTTAGCGGCAACCGGCATTTCGGCCCGGATTAATGGGACCGCGGAGCGTGAAGCCATTCTCTTGGGTCTTGATTGTAAACACGACGCGCTCGTGGTCGCAAGGGCGCTATAGGGACGAAAAGTAAGTATACCGTACTATATGTTCTTGAGTGCAGACAAAGATCAGTCGGATATGGTGTAACGGCTAACATTGCCGCCTCTCATCGGAATCTTCAACTGAAATTGACTGGCCGACTCTGGTTCATTTCAGTTGGAGATTCTTACGGATCGCGGCAGCTCGGGGTTCGATTCCCCGTATCCGAATACCTTTTGTTTGAGTACTTTAACTCTCGACAGTCCCACGCAGGCGAGGCAATTTCTCTGCGTTGGATTTTGTTGGACTTTCTTCAAACAAGAAAACAGTATACTCTGCTGCACAGCGTCGTGACACCTCATAGGCCTCATAGGCCTCATAGCTTAGCCATTTACCAGTTCGGGCGTTCCGCCTTTACCCATCATCTCGAGCGCGACACCCTTGACCAGTTCTACTCGCCGGTGGAAGCGGAGGAGTACTCCGCAGCCGTTACGAATCTTGAAATCCTGCAACATCATATAGGATACTGTGGCAAGACCTTTCAGCTGCACTGTAAAGAATTGCTTGTCGAATGCCACTGCCGATTAATGTTACGCGTCCAGCTCTTCAGGCTGTAAGAGAAACCATCAAGGCCATGGAGGAGTCCGAGTTATAGTAGGTCCGAACTTGAAACTGCAACAGTACAGGCATCTACTGATTGCCCTGGATGGTAAAACACCCACCTTTGATTGCTTCTCTGAAACGGTGGACAAGGGGCACGCCAGGCTTTTGGAAGTGGAGATAAACGATGAGAAGGAGTAGTACGTTGAGTGCAGGTCCGAGTCGGTGATGGTGGGTTGTTGGGATTTGCAGACGTTGGATTGGACCGGTCTGTTGTCTACAGTGCCTTTTCCAGACTTGAGGCACTTTACTTGTATGCTGTAATTTGACGAAATTTATCTACTCAGATGGATTGCAGCCGTCACGGCTTTCCCGTCATGGTCATTTGTGACCTGAGAAAACCCGGGGACATTAGGAACCCTATACCATGCTAACGCGCCTGTTGTGACAGAGACGTCCCATCTAGTGGTGCATGCCTGTAGGGGCACAGCCTCTGAGCCTGTTCTCCGGTCAACGACAATCAACTGGGAATAATAAAGCACAGCAAAGGTCACGCCTCGAGACTTGCAATCGGAGACTATGGTAACAATAGCCGCCTGTAGTTTAGACAAAGCGGAGAACACGCAGCCAGTCGCAAAATATAAGGTCAAAGTAGCAATCGAGGTGCCATGTCACCACACTAGGATCCGGGAGACAGTACAGATCAGTAGACTGGTCGATTAGGAATCGAGTCGTCACACGCGCGAGGTAGTGCTCTGCTATTCGATCAGGTCCCGCTCGGGTTGATATCCTTACAGATTCGGAGCTTGTGATAGAGCTTGTCACGTGTTCAAGAACGTTTCAAGTTCCGCAAAATTGAATGTCCGACTCAGCGTAGAACGGGATGCTCAACCATCCGACTCACGATCAGATTATTCCCTACCAACTCGTTGAATCAGCCCCGAGCTCGACTGTGCTAACCGCTACACGTCCCTACTTGAAATACACATATTTCTTGCCTCATTTTTCCTGCATGGGTTGACTCGTACGGCTCACTCGGGGACGATCCGAGTCCTTGTTCTTGGCCCCGCTTTGGCAAATATCTCAAAGTCAAAAGGAAGTAAGCACCCGATATCTTACGTATGAACAATGATCAGATACAACGAGAGGGAACACCAAGGGCTGTTGGCGGCACCCAGAGCGTTAAATGCCGAGAAAGTGTTTCTTGGTCCCCGTCGTCAGGGCGTCTAATGTTGGTTTGTTGTCGAGTCGTCCTCCGGGACAAGATACTGGCTATGCCTTGTCGTTCTTCTGATATAAGTAGCTCTCTGATACCCTCTGTTACAAGAAACTACATCATCAATGGAGCCCGACTGGTCTTCAGAAGCACCGTTACTCTCTCCGAGTCATAACCGAAAACTTAGTTCTAACTACACAAATGATTTGGCATCTCAATCTCAGGCCGGCTTTTTGGGCACTATTGGAATGGAGGAAAGTTCATTTGCTCCGGGACCGTCATCGCTCCCGATTCAACGATACGCCCCTTATCATGGTAAGCCTTATGATTGACTCAAAGTTGCGTTCTAGTCTTGACGTGCGGAGTCATGATCAGAATACCAGTCCATTCTGCAATCTGTCCCGAACTTGCCAGACCGTCGGCCACAGTTTTATGAATCAGAAGGTATGCCTCAGTTTTCATCCTCATCTACTGGGTGTGTCTAATTCAGAATCCATTGTATTCTCCCACAATGTCTGCATTGATTTTGCTAGTCCCGTTACTCGCTTGTGATCAATTCCCAGACTTGTCTGTTCAGACGGATCCTAATAACGCTGACACTCTCCATGCTGCATCTACGGAGTATTCGTATCCTGCCGGCTTGAGAGGTGCAAACGGACAGACGGAACAGATGGCGATAGTTAACCATCACCCCCTGTCATCACATCAGGACATTTTTAGAGCCTTTGGGGTTTCTGCTGCACCGGAGTTGTCATACGCGATGAATGCTGGTACTCCGTCTTCGCTATCTGCCGAGCCGTACCATGAATCTGGAGAGCAAAATGACTACGCTGACGCAACGTCGTTTCCCTCTGCACAAATGGAGGGCGCCGCACTGGATCTCGTGGCGATCCAGGGACAGATCGCGACTACACAGGAAGCGTCTTCGCACCGTGAGCGGAAGATCCTAGATAAAAAGGAGAGGGATAAGGCAAGGAAGAGAACTGAGCGACACAAGGATGCACAAGATTACGCGAGGATATGTGAATTGCTTGAAATTGCATTGACGCCGAGGAGTTCGCTTGCCCATCGCAGTGAGTGTTTGTGTATTCATCCTCGTCCGAGGTATTGAGAATTTCATAGTTCTAGTTGGTGTTGAGGCGGTGGTGGAGCGGTTGAAGCTTGACAGTGACGTTCGAGATCAGCTTAGAGAAACTGAAGCTTGT